CCCGGCCGCGGTGGGCCCGGGCTGCTGCGCTTTACCTGGAAATGGAGGGGCCTTGGGTGGTTGCCGTGCTGAGGCAAGGGGAGACTCGGGAAGGACGGTATAGCGTTTGGGAGGGGCGTGGGGCTTGGCGTGCAGGTAAACGGTGAGTGTGATCTTGTGACAAGTCAGGGATAAGGCAAATTTTCCTATCTACCCTTCCCTCTTTCCATCTGGCTTCACAAATCCTTTTCTCTTTTTACTGTTTCCATCTTTTTCCTCTCTGATTTGGGATGCTTCTTCCCCTTTCTGCTTGGCCTGATGTAATGCTAGCGTCCACTTACAGCTGGTGTGTCATCTTAAAGCCTCAAACCAAAAGTTATAGGGTGAAAAAAAAAAAAAAAGCAAAGATGAGCCTCCCTCTTGCAGTCCAGTCTTTCCAACTTGAGGTATTACTTTTTTAGTTCTCTAAGTTAGAGGAAGGCATGTCCTGCTTTGAGGAAACATTCAAGAAAGGGTTTTGTAATTTTAGAGCAACTGTTGGTTGTTAAAACAGGTATATTAACAAACAATGCTTCTTTCAAATATCAAAAGCTTTCTTTTATCAACATGTTTACTTTCATGTCCTAGGCTAGGTCAATTTAGTAGTGTCCGCTGAAAGAGAACAGTTGGTCATTTTGTCTTACACGAGAATCTTACTGGCAATTGCTGTCTTTTCACACAGCTTCCTGGCTGAGGCCTGACTCTTACAGCATGTTGTATTTCTCAATAAAATGTCAAACCATTACACACAGTTTTACTAGGTTTATTTGGAAGGATGATAATTATGGGATTATGATTAGTATATAATTGGTTTTATCTTTTAAATTTTCTACTGTTACAGTTACTGAATGCCTGACAAAATAGGACTTTTTCATAGATTTTAACATTGAAAGTAGTGCAGAAGGTGTTTTCATGGATTGTTCTAAAAACTGAAAGATGATTGTGTTATGGGATCAGATATCCGTCTGCCTGAGTGGTGGGCGTTTGTTTTCTTATTCAGTAACATCAGAAAAGATTTTTATATGGACAAATGCTAAACTGTTTCTTGTTTTTTTGAGAGTCTTTTTTTTTTTTTTCCAAGAAGGGTCTCAATATTAAACAGAAAGGTAATTGCAACATTGTGCTAAATTTGTAATCCCATACTAATGCACATGGAGAAGTAAATGGTAACATATTAACATAAGTGTTTGCATTATGAAACACAGAAGTAGATTTATTATGCTCAATTAAAAGTCTTAGTTAGGAAACTGGTAAAGGTGAAACTGTATAGAGTTATTAGTAAGGTTTCTCCTTGCCTCATTAGTAAATAGGTTCTCATACCTGAGTAAAGGGTAATGGAAACTTCTCTCACTGCTCATAACAGTTCAACTTGAAAGTAACAGCATTGTTTGAAGACTTGTGCTATTGACAGAAATTTTCTTTGGGCTGTAATTGTGCAGTCTGAAGATGTTCTGGTTCTTCCTTTCGCCATGATTGCAAGGAACTGCTATTTAGACTGTTCTCATTTTCACACATTGATTTTGACTGAAATGAATTGTCATGCTCATCTGAGCAGCTCAGATGGCAGAGCTGAGGTCCTCTGTTAGAGAATGTGTGATGAACAGGTAGGGGCTATAACCTTTACATGACTGAGCTTCAGTCAGAACGTAGTGAGCATGCACAGCCTAGGTGCATATGTGTTTGCTCCTTGCATTTTTAGTATACTGTAACTGCTCTTCAGAACCTGCATTGTTGGCATGGTATTAAAAAATACCTGCAGCCAATTTGCTTTAGGGCTGCCAACATCACTGGTTTGTGACAGGATTACCTGATAGTGAGAAGCCAGGAGAGAAGTGTGGGTCACGTCCTTAGTTTAGACAGGGCTAATGTGTAAGTGATTTCTTAGAGAAGAACCTGCATTGCTTCCCTTATTTTTAAGCTTTTGAGACTGAAAGATTTGCAAGCCCCTAAGAAATGCATTTTCTAAAGTAATTCTCATTAGATTTTTGCACTTTCCATATATGCACAATTTTTTTCATTTACCTTTTAGCATCAGACTACGCTGTGGTGTTCCATAACCTTTGTGTTCTGTTCTGCTCTCCTGGGAAGCAGCTGATTATTTTATATGGCCTAAATTCTCTTTAAAGTCAGAAAGCAGAGCAAGGGACTGAAGAATCATAAAACTTGAAAACAGGATGCAGCTGGTATGGAAGGCTGCTGTCTGTAGCATATGTCACAATCTTGTTTCCATGTGCTTTTCTGTCTCTTTCTTGCTTTGTTACCTCTTTACGGTTCTGTTTTAAGCCAGGCATGGAGGACAGCAGATTATATATTCTGTATGCATCATCAGATTTGCTGCTTGCGTGCATGTTATAGGGCCAGGTTCTGCTATGTGTATTTAAATGAATGATATTATACAAGCTGGATGGGGAGCACACATGGATCTTCAGAGTTTTGGTGACAAATAAAAATAAGTACTGGTCTGTTTTTAAGTTTCAAGCCAAATTGTAAAGATTGGAAGTAGAAATATATTCCTACCTGAAAGTGAACAAATTGAAAGTAATTAATATATAACATATGGCATTAGTCTGTTAGCCTCACAAAGAATGAGAACAAGTAAAATTACCTAGTAGAGGAACTGGAAACAGTTAACAGTGGCAGACACATATCTTAATTTCCGTAATCTTTTACTTAGACAGTAGAGTGGATTCAGAGTGCTGGTGTGCAGCATTTGTTCAACTGAATTTAATTGCAAACTTCAGTGGACAAGAAATGAAAATTGAGCAGAAGTTAATCACTGTTCTCATTTCAGGCGAGAGCTGTGGTCACAAAGAAGCCAGAAGAAAAGCCATCAGTTTTCTAGTTTTTCCACTTCTTTTCATAAGACATTCCTAGACTAGAGATTTTCTTTCTTCCTCTTAATTATGCAGCGTAAAGTATTATTTATAAACTGTTAAATACTGAACTATTGACATGTGATGCTGACCTTTATTGTTTTGCACAGATGAAAGAAAAAAGGAAACGCTCAAGTGATGAAGCTTCAGGTATAGCTGCAGTGGAAGAAGAGTCTTTTACAGATTTGACAAAAACTGAACTATCGTCGTTGAAAGCTAACAGAACAAAGATAAGATACGCCAATACGTACAGACTGGAGTCATATAATAAATTTCAGGATTATATCGTAAGAAACAAAGCTCAAGAGATACTAACGGTATGGTATGATTTTAATGGACTAACTGTTTAATGTAATTGCAAAAGTAATTTCAGTCTTGCAAAGACTATGCGATAGCGTTGGCTGCTTATGTTTAAATGAGCATAAATCTTTGCAGACTTGGATCTTTAGTACACAAATGCAGTTCCAATTGGCTCTGTTCTGCAAGGTGTGGAAGGCCCTGTGCAAGGCAGCTGCTGAGCATGTGCTGTTAAGATGGGGCTGATGCTTCTTAAACTTCTGCACCCTTCTAAATTAAGACGAGCCTGCAGCACAATCCAAAATATCCTGATCTCTAAAGTATCCTGCTGTCCAAAGATTCTGATCTTGAATTTGTGCAATGTAACTACTTCAATTACTTCTGCTGATATCACATGACAGGCACGAAGTATGCGTGGGGTCCTTGACAGTCTGACTACCACGTGCAAAAGTCAAGCAGAGATGAATGAAAATTATCTGTTGAAGTAGTATGTAGCTGTTAGAGTGAAACCTTGAAAAATTCTGCAATCCAGAAGACAGACTTTGGATATATGGAACAGGTATTTGTAGCACTATTTTGCAGTGAACTGAGTCCAAGTGAAGGAGAATAGTGCACCCTGTTTGTTGAATGGAGATCAGCTGGACGTGCTTAAATGTCACTTTCAAAAAACAGTTAAAACATTTTACGGTAAAAATAGTGCAACCTTTGCTCTTTGAGAGCAACACTTGTGTTCTACGGGCCCTTCTACCAATTAGTTCTTCATAATGAAAATCACTGTAAAAGCTTCTTGCAAAAGACCGCCAGGATGAAAATTAAGATTGTTCAAATTTATTTTTGGTAGAATAAACTTCAAGAAACCAAATATGATGGAGTTTCTAGTCCCTCCTTGTGTGCTTCAATCTCCGAAGAAATATTAATGGCTATTAAGGAATTGGGCTATGACCGTTACAAGTACGTCGTATCAGTACTAATTGTGGAAAAGGCAGGCCAGGCAATAAATGTGAGCAAACAAATTGTTCATAATTCCTTTTGCAAACTGAAAATGATTTTTTTTTGAACTGTATCTTCTCTCTTAGGTGTTGGAAGTGGATTTGTTGGAAGTGGATCTTTGGAGCCTTTAGGTTGCTTATGGGGAATAGTCTGCTAAGTGACAATTTAAGGGGCTGTAGTGTGTCTGCGAAGCCTTGTGAAGGTTGTATTTTTGAGTTTTAAGCAGCCCTGCTGCTTTTTGCTGTCAACCAGCTACATCACCTGGGTACTCTGCCAGTACAATTGCATGACTATGCAGTGAATTCTTTTTTCTTCTTCTAGTGGACTTTGATTTCCAGTTAGTTCAGCACATAGCAGTGCGAAATGATATAGGGGTGAAGGAATGGGAAAGGAATGAGTGGTAAGGAAAGGAATGGAAACTGTTTCAACTGTAGCTGCCAGCAAATAAATGTTTTTGTGACTACAACCTAACATAGGTAATCTGAACGTGGGACACCCAAAACAAAGGTGACTTTCCTTCATTGTATCTAAATTTACATGCGTAGCAAGCTCCCTTTGGCATTCAGCATACTTTTTGGTACCTTGCTGAGCATTAGAGAACACTTCTAGTTAAGAATGTTCGTGTATCATCAGCTCTTAAAGCCTCATGTCCTACTGAAGTGGAACTACACTCTGTTGTTAATGGGTTACTTGGAACAACGTGTAGGGGAGCTGGAAACCTTTAGAGTTTTGGTTCAATAGTAGCAGTTTTCATTGCCGCTTTAGTAGTAGAGTGTGTTCATGCTAGTCAGTTACTTTCAGAGCACTCAACCCAAGGTATGTTAAGGTGAAGGCGTTGGTGTTTGGAGTTTGCCAAATACAAATACCGTATGGAAAGATTTATGAGGACACATACTGAAAAGAAATGAAACAACTGTATTTTATAGCTAAGCAGGATGGAATTTTTAATTGTCCTTTTTCACACCACTCTCTACCCAGCTTGTTCTGTTAGTACTCTTGGGCACCATCATGTCAACTCACTTGCCCAGAAAGTAAATATGGACTTGTAATGAGGATTTTCTACTCCTAACTAAGCCATAAACAAAGTGCTACTCCATACAAAGTAAAATGCCCTTCTAGCAAATACGTGGGATTAGTATTGTTACTTTTTACTGAGGCAGAGGGTGTGAAGATAAAGAGGGATTTGGTATGGACTGATCACCCAAACCTACGCTTGAGATTGCAGTTTGAAGGGATGCTGGCTTTGGTAATGAAGCCAGTCTGTGAGGTGGCTACAATGCTGGTGCTGTGCCACAACGTGCTGCCTCTAAAGCTGTTACTATATGACTGCTTGTAGGGCTGTAGAATAAAATGGATCATTGAAATGATCCAAATTAAACATACCCCCCCCCCGAAATATTTCAGTGGTCAGTTCACAGTTTAGCTTTGAAAACAATTTTACCAAAACAACTGAAAGGCTAGCGAATGGTCGCAAATAAACTGCAGTAAGCCGCTGGAGGTGGAGGAGTGAGGATATGACTTCTTAGATGGATTTGTTGTCAAAATGGATGTCAAATTAGTTTGAAGGGATACTGTGACAGTATGTCAGAGTACTAATAAGTGAACATGAGAATTGAGGTTTTGGTGTAGAGAATTTTGGATCCAATGGGGTGGAGGGGGAAGCTTTACTGTGAAGCAAAAATGTGTTTTAGCATCACGTAGCACTTGTTCATTTTCACTGTGATTTTGCAGTTGTGTTTTTACTACTTACGACTCACATAATGCATCTGTATATTGTTATGTGTTCTTTTAAAAATATAAAATTTGTGCTATATGGATTTACAAATAGCTTGTTCTTTTCTTTCCTTTAGGTTGCCAGCAGATGGGTGTGGGATGTTCAAAGAGACACCTGGGTTTCAGCTAAATGTGAAACTGAAACCTTTATTGCACTGGCTTTGGTAATGGCTTGTTATTATGAGTAGTGCCCTAAAAGCCACACCTGTTTTTGAGCATCACAGTACTTGGTATATTTGAAAAAGTTCCAAACATCACTATTTTAGCACTGAATTTTTAGCCCAACACCACTGGTACATTGAAAAGGATGCATTTCAGCTAATTTTACCTTTCTTCTCTTTGAAAAAACTTGTGAAATATGTATGGTTGAGTACATATGGGCCTCATCTGTCATAACTCTCTGTTTTGGAAGTTAAAGGAAGTGTTGTAAAGATAAACTTCACGAAATTTTCAATGTGACTTTCTAGTGCATGCCTGGACGTGCCAAGAAATGTATTTACAATAAATTGAAAGCATCAATTTTTTTTTAGAGTTTGTGCCTCATTGGCTTTGTAAGAGAAAGTGTGTGATTTTGTTGTTGTTGTTCTTGTAATGATGATAAAATGCCACAGCTTGAGTTTGTGTAGAAACAGCAAAATGGGAAGCCATCTTTACCAGCTATCTTCTACCTTTACCATTTTTGAAGTCTTTATAGAATATAGAGTATTATTTTTTTCCTTCTTAATAGTTAGTCACACTTAGGGTTTATGCACACACATCAGTTTGTCTTGAACGGAATGGACGTTTAATCATTACCTTCCTTGGGCCTTAAACTTGCATTAGATATGAACTCTGTTCAGGCCCCTGGCAGAAATATTCAGTGAGTGAATTCAGTGAATTTGACTGGCTTCTAATGGTGCAAGCGGAGAGATTGGTGTACGCTCAGTAACAAGACAACTGAAAACTTGTACTTAACCAGCAAAGACAGCAGTGATTATATTTTGAAAAGTCAGACTGCGACAGATCCATATGGTACTTAGACTTCTGGTTTTAGAACTGGAAGTTGAATGTTGATGCCTCTTTCATTGCAATTACATTTTTAAGAGTTGAAAAAATATATATATACGTAAGAACACATCTCATGCGTTTATTATTTTTAAATGTCTTGTGGCCTGCGAGGATCTGACTGCGCTTAGAATTTTTTGTAGGCAAAAGGTGTGAGATTCCTAACAGAAACCATCTGAAAGTTGTAAAAAGCAGCTTGCAGTCACCAAAGGTGGGTGGATGCACAGCACCCGCTGCGCATGTAGGAGCACCCCTGCAACGCAGGCAAATCCTTTAGGATCCTGACTTTGCAGATTCTTACATGGGGGGGG